CTAGGTCCGATAACTTCCAATGGCATTTGCATCCATTGGTCCATTCCACCAACTTCAATCACGTGATTGCATTTCTGAAGAATGATGAACCTGCGGATTAAATGATAACCACAACCTATTTATTTATTAGATTACAAAATTCGGAAATCATGCGGAACGACGATCTAACCTTAAAACACTACAGTTAAACTTTCAAGCGCCACCACATTGAAGTCATCTCTATCACTTACCAAGGATTGAAATCAAGAGTTCTCAATGTGCTATTTGCTGAGAACATTACCTTCTTACGAGATTTGATGGACGTCATTTAGTATTAAGCTATCAATTCTCTCTAATAAGGGGATCATTAAAAAGTCAACGTCAACACTGAGGCACGAACATTCAGTTTTCAGTTATATACTATGAACTTCAAAAGTTTAAGAGGGTTTATTTAAAAGTTCTTTGAATCCATCATTCATGGTATCGATGGAAGGAGACCCAAGTATATAATCCACAAGATTGAACAGCCGAAACGTCTCTTATCAGCAATTCATTTCCAGCAGTATGTTATTTTATGGATTCATCTTTCAAACGTTAACTTTTACTTTCTTAATTATTTTATTCTGTACCACATTTTGAAGAAAGTCTTGTCTATACATAGAGAAGTTGACGGCTGAGGATAAAGATCCTCTTGAAGTCAATGAAGCTCTGCATTTTCTCACGATATCGAAAAAGATTTATTGACTTTATTTGTCAGCATTCAATCATCCCCATCAAGATTCTTTTTGTCAGCCAAGTTCCTGAAGGACGCCATTTTTCATTTATTGGAATGTATAAGACAGAAGAAGAATCTTGAACTTTTATCATGATTTTGTCAATCCATGCAATTCACTGAGCGTGGTTTCAGAATCCTGCATGAAATCGGACTTACATTGCATGCTAACAAAAATCAAGCAATATATATTGAGACCATCGTCAGGCATCAGAGATACTGACAACTGAAATTTCTTCGGAGCAACTAAACACTGGAAAACATGGACAGGTTTCTGGGCTTTTATTTCATTTTTAGTTTACCTGTCATCTTTTTCTTGGCTAACATCGTTCATGACCAAGTCGAAGAATTCCACTTCCTTTCCACAGCATCGCCGACATGGCGGGCAGACTTCACCGCAAAGTCCAACGCATTTGTGACGGCAACCAAGTTTCATTTTGCAAGGCTCGTTGCATTTATCCTCGCCTCTGCCACAGTCCTCTGAACACTTCAATTTGCACGGCTTGTGTTGACAACTGCTCTGGCATTTTTCCTGCAACGTTTGACATCATTTGCAGAGCTCATAAACACTACTAGAGTTTCAATTTTTTTTTTCAAGAGAATGGATCAAGGAAAAATCGCTTCACGCCAGATAGTCACAACAAAAATCCTGGATTTCAATGCCGTAAAGTTCAAAATGAGTTATTTCAATGGGAAATGCGGAATTTCCTCATGTGCACCGCATGAAAAAAAATTAAAACCTGTACTGTACTGGAGTTGCAATCAAAGAAGATGTATTTATTCGAAATTCAGTTCTGCAACGATAATGTGAAACATTTCAAAGAATTAGGAGCTAGAATATCCTTTTTACAGTTTAGCGACCATCCAGCAATTACTGTACAGTACATGGCTCCGTAAGAATTCGTCCTCGGACGAATTGGTCCTCGTCCCAGGCCGGAAGACACACACTCTTGTCAGAATACATGGAGGAGAGATCTTGACAGAGAAGAAAATATTTTACAAGAAGCTTCAAGAAGTGTTGAAGAGGTTAGTCCCACACTACGACAACCCAGGCCCACATGGAAGACAATCTTGCCTCAGCTTTTTGGAGAACATTGCCATGAGGATTTCTTTTAGTGAAGACAGTGTATAGAAATTTGTATTCCTGATGCTACAGTTTGTTTTTTTTTAACTCAGTATGACATGGATAAATTTCATATTTCATTTATTTTTCCCCTGTGTTGTATCATTTAGTAATGGCCGAATGCGCATCACATATCTTTCAGCAGCAAATCTTCCTAAAAAACTCAGACTTGACTGATTTTCCTTCCTACAGTAAGTGCACTTTGTTTTTGCATTGTCTGATTTCAAACAATATTTTCTTGCATATCAGCAAACAAGTTGCTGACAATTTATTTCAGTTTGATGTAGAAATTTGAAAAAACCTGCTTTCTTGGGATTGAACCCTTGGGATTGAAATGTATTATTTTATTATACGGCATTTTATGAAACATCATGGGCTGCTATTTATACAGGCCAGAATAACCCTGGGATTGACAAGTGCAACCAAGTTGACACTGGCTAAATCCTGTTTCCCTACAGGTTTTCCACTCTGCTGAAGTTGCCCCTTGAGGGCAAAAAAGTTGCTTCGGGGCGCAGCATAGCAGGTCCCACCACGTGCACTTTCCTTCGGGGCGCAGCGAGTCCCGCCATACAGGCAAGCTGTGGCGCAGGAGCTTGAAACACCATGAGCTGCATCAAGATTTATTTGAATTTTCACATTTCCCAGGTTGCATCAATCCTCATAGGATCACTGCGTATTGGACTTCTTACTGGGTTACGAATTACTGTAAATACATTTCTTTTTGATCTTCCTTGGCGCCACTCAGAGACACTGGGCAAGACCCAATGTAATTGACAATATTTCATAACTTGCTATCAGGTACTGTAATTCAAAAACCTCCAAACCTGTAATTAAAAAAAAAAAAGGGTGTTGAAAGCATTGACCGATTTTAAATTCAGAAGTGCGAGGCATATGCGCACTCCTCCTGGTCTGCAGGAAGACTGACCAGCATATGGAGGGAGGGTATCGCATCCCGCCTCACTCCCGCGAGTATCCCCGCCAGTAGCCCCGCCTCCCCCCGCGAGGACGAATTGTCCCAAGGCCCATTTCTACCAAGTCCCCAGGACGAATTCTACCAAGGACGATTTCCTCGAGGACGAATTCTACCGGAGCGACAGTGCATGTATAGATTTCCTTGAGCCTCTCAGCACTAGCTGAACTATTCAACTGCACACACAAAATTCAATTTTCGGTGTAATGTTTTTTTCAACAGGTTCAATCAAGAAGTTCTTGCATATTTCAAAAAGAAATTTTCTCACCAAACATGGAACACACGGTTCCCCGCACCGCTTCCTACAGGCAGAATGTGGGCAGGAATTCTCACACTTTTCTTTGCAGGGCGGACAGTTCAAACTACAAGCGACTTTGCAAACGTGTCCACACACAAGTTGTCTTCCACAAGGCTTACCGCAAGGCACATGGATCCTGCCTTGAAGACACTTGGAACAAGTTCCAACGCACTCATGTCCGCATGACAGAATTTCCCCACAGGGATGATCACAATGTTCCATTTCATCCTCATCTGACAAGATGTTGCCACTATTTTTGATGTGACAGGGCAGTTTCACTCGATGTCCGCACCTGGAAAAAACGTTGTAATAACCTACAGCAGAGCTTTCCAAAAACGCAGTTTGAATAAGAAGTTGATTAATTCATTTCCGTATGATCATCAACTTTCTGTTTAAAGATCTAAGAAATGTTCATCCTTCCGCCATACCAGAAATATTTTGTCGATTCACGGAACTCTCAAGTTCGATAATTTTCGAAATGTTCATCAGATCTCATGGGCAGACAAAATCCATGATCAGGGAGTTCAATGCATGAAAAAAAACTAATTCTTCTCAAATTTCACTTGTGTGATTTTTACTCAATACAGCTCAAAGTAATGCACACTGCGTTAATCTTTTCAAATACAGTGGTCAAGATTTTTACACTTCAGTAAGGCGAATTAATACCACACAGGTAGTGCTTTAAAACCCACAACGGGGTAAGCAAATGCTTCCCCTTCCTATAATACACAATGATCACGATGAAAACTGCAATAAAAATCTTGAAAGAACCCGTCTCACAGAAACGCAAGCTCATCAGCATTACAGAACTGACCTTCCGACCTTACCAGCGTCCAACAAAACAAGGCATCTCGTGGTGCATACGTTGCGGCAACTATATGGACACCTGTGTCCGCAAGGCAACATCTTTTCGCATTTCATCAGGCAGTCAGACTTTTCAGGCACTTCTGAGCAGTTCAACTTCACGGAATGGGAACAGTCCGGAATCTTTTTTTCGACCTTCACGCGGCAGTCCCCACAGGGTTCCTTGCAAGTTTTCCGGCACATGTGACCGCAAGGTAATGTTTTCGCACACTGTCGTAAGAATTTCAATACTTTATAGTGTATACAATGAGCCCCGGCATAACGAAACCGATCCGTTCCTGCATGGATGCGTTTCGTTATGCGAAATTTTCGTCTTGTTTTCCCACAAGATTACATTGTAATTAATTTCTTTCTTTCCAGACACTCACCAAAAGACCATTAAACCCATAAGATATTTCGAATTGTCAAGTTGGGAAATTTTATGAAGTACTGTACTATCTATCTGTACTATTTATCTGAAAAACTATACCCTTCTTTTGACTTTTTCTTCAGATTTTTAAAAATTCGTAAGTTCAAATTAACATTTATTCGAATTCAAGAATTTTTTGGCCAAAAACATTTTCTTAATGAGAAAAATTAACAACTTTATCAGGTCTCTTTTTATGCAAGGACTCACCAACTCACCGTGCAATAGTTCAAATCAAGAAATAATCAACGAGCATACAAGAGGGAAACAAAAGAAAAAATCAGAAATAAAACATACTGCATATCGTCAACTATAAAAAAGATGGAACTGAAGTGAGAAATCGAGACGTAACAAACCCGCTCTCTGCATTTGACGTCTTCTGGCTTCACATAGCAGGGGACTTCCAAGGAATGACCGCAAGTTAAAGTCATGTCAACCAGCTCTCGGCAAGGGGGACATGGATTCTTGTAACACTTGTCTGAGAAAAAATCCTACGCTTAAGCAGTGATCTTGCAGAATAAAAGTAATGAAGCATCATGTTCCTTTGATCTAACTGTTAACCAATAACATATATAATCTCCCAAGACCCAACGTCACTCGTAAGACATAGATCAGCATAACGGAACCTTCGAATCAAGAGGAACAGCACATCATCTCAGAAAAATTTGATTATTGAACGAATTGTACCCACCAGTTCTACCCACAGGTGTCGCTTCAGCGGTTTCGAAAGACAGTAGGAATATTTCAGACAAATGTAATGGCCTGGGCCCGTGAAAGCTTGAACGCGCAGAACTTATGCTGGCTACATTGTATCAGTCGCTCGTGTTCAAAACTCTCCAACGAAATTATAGTAACCAAATACTGTACTATTATAACTAAGTACTTGGAATTATAAAAACAACGAAAACTATTCTTACCCGTGCATGGATGTTCTTTCGGGCACGATTTTCCACATGGCTTCGAACACTTGTACATCATATGTTCCGGATCATCTGTTGCATGGCAATTTCGTTCACAAGCATGTCCACAATCGAGTCGAGTGAAGCACTTCGTCGAGCATTTAGCCTGATACAATTCAAAGCATAATTTCGTGACGCTTCGTGAACATGAATTTTAACGCAATGAAAAAATCAGCATAAAAAATACCACAATTATGGCTCGCTGATCAATAATACAGTGAAGGAAACAATTTCAGGAATGAAGCATGAAACCGTTTCTTGACAATGAAGGAACCAAAAAACTCACCAACTCGACACTTTCAAAACATTTCATGGTCTGCAAATGATCGCAAGGAACCAGATTCCGCTCAACTCGTTCAGCGCATGGAGGACAAGGCATTTTCCCGCATATAGATTTGCATGCATGTTTTTCGAGTGCGGGGCATTTTCTTTCACAAGGCCGCCTGCAAATGCTTTCCTGGGTCTTATGATCCTTGTCTTTTATGTGACACAATCGTTGACACAAATGGCCGCATGAGTCAAGTATTCCATTACAAACCTGAAAAATACGAAGTCTTGAACTGCAGGGAACACCGAAATTCATAATTTGACCACCCGAGATGGGTGAACTCACTTTGGAACATCCCCCACCCAGAGGAAAATCATCAGGATTGAAAACTGAGATGACCTGATCCGGGTGAATTTGACAACGCAGAGGTAATGCACTTCCGATCTGATTCTCCTTCTCCAACACACACTTCATCTTCCTCCACAATTCGCTGGCAGAACTCAATGCATCCATGTTTCCAACTATGAATAGTCCTTTCTTGGCACGCGATAAAGCAACGTTTACTCGGTTATCAGTCCGCAGAAAGCCAATATTTCCTTCCAAGTTGCTCCTCACGAGCGACAATAGAATTATATCATTTTCTTCCCCTTGATAGTTGTCAACCAGGGTGATTCGAACGGTTTTGTGACTTGGAAAGTTGGCCAACAACTAGAAAATGCATGGAAAATGTCGGGATTTCTCAAGCATATCTAAGAATAACGAATTGTACGGTATATGCCTCATTCTCGACCACCAATCATGCAGCTCTTAGCTCCAGTCGTTTGAATTCGAACTTGATTTTTTATTTTATTTAGTGCGAAGCCGGTGATCATATCAAAATGTTCGGAGAAGCACGAACAATTTTCAAAGCATGCACGTCTGTCTCAAACTTCATGCCTCGAATTCCAGCATTTACTCCGTATCTAAACTCATAAACTCCCAGATCAACAGAGGAATGAGAACAGGGAAAAGTTAGTTTCTCAAAATCTCTTGCATCAGATATGCGAGAAACACAGAAAATTGATAGACATTAATAATTAATAACAGCCGCAAACACGCAAATAATTGGCATTGCCTCAAATTGGCCCTGTCTCGAATCGTCCGTATCCCATAAATAATATAGATCACTTACGCATTTATAATTCAAGCCAGTCCGACAAAGATATATACTTTATGAGAAGCGTAAATCATCAAGGATAAATAAAACGAATAATTCCCAAAATATTGACGACGGAAGCAGCACAAACTTTCAGCTCACCTTCTTGAAGACAAAAAGCTGTCCAGAATACCCCGTTAGGATAGTGATTTGCTCATGCTTGTAACCTTGCAACAAAAGATACCTGCACAACGCCAACAAAAACTTTGCCTCCACTTCGTTGCTTTTGCTCTTCAGGTCCTCATTCTGAAAAATGTCGTCACGAATAATCGCGTGAATTCAAATTTGCGCTCTGAAGCAGGCTCTGAGAAGTGTTTCATTCAAATATTTTCCTCTAAAATTCTCACCGATTCTTCCGGGATGTTGTGAGAGACAAAAAACACGTTTTTGTCAACGCCAAGTATATCATCGTAGCTCGAGACGCTTTCGTGGTCTTGTAGATCTTCGTAGATATTGAATTTGATCAAATTCGAAATTTCTGGTCTCATTCGGTGCTGGAGTCGCAGGCGTTCGAATGGAACACGGTTTTTCAACATTCTTTCAAACAGAGAAACATCCAATCCAAATTTTTTTGCGAGCTGGAATACGGTTGTCGACGGCTTCAGTTGTTGGTGATCTCCTGTATTAAATGAATGAAACTCGAATGTGAGTCGATGCCTTTAATATACGTTGTTAACGAGTGAGAAATCCTTTACCGATAAGAATGATATGCTGGCAATGGGGAGATAAGCAGCATACGATGTGTGACTCCAGAACTTCTGCTGCTTCTTCGACTACGACTATAAAAAAGAAAGAAAAAAATCAACACAGCTGATGCAGAAGAAAGTGAAGAAACCACTGAGATCATCAACAGGAACGTGTCAGAGAATGTTTAAAGCTTCGCAGAAGGACGAGTCAGCGAGCTGAAAAAGAGGATCTCAAGAGATGCAAAAATTGCAATTCTAGGAGCTGGATTTTTCGAGAGAGAACACGACAGCACAGACTGAAATTACGTTGTACACAGCAATAAGACGTCTGGGCTGATGTTAAACATTCTCAAACGTTTGAAAGGGGGGTTAACTCCCTTTCCAACTGACACTTGGGAGAATTGAGAATACCCTAGTATTTTCGGAAAAGCTCAAGGTGAACACGCTGAGATTTATGCTGAGACATCAACAAAAAACATGAAAACTCACGAATTTTCGCTTTCATGTTCTGTACAAGAGAAATGTTCCGAGCAGCGCCTGTTGTAGTCATTCCAACGACGTCCAAGGACTGCATGTGTTGCAATAATGCCCCATCTTGAGCTTCCTTGTAACGTCCTACCAGCTCCTTGTATTTTTCTGTTTCTGTGTCTATTTTTTCATTCAAGGCTCGGATCAAAAGGTTTGCCCAATACCGATAAATCAACCAACGAGCTTTCAGCAAGTGAACATTGACCCATTTTTCTTCAGGGCCGACCAACTCTTCAGGTGGCTTCACCAAATCCAAGTTTGCCGGGACTTTCAAAAATGCGGAATCCGCTTGCACTTTAGCACTCATAAGTTTCAAGCCTTCCAACCGCAGTTCCGCTTGAATCAACTGTACACACAAAAAAAGCGGGTTTCCCGGTTAACGTACATAGCATCGCATGTAAGGTAAACCCTTGTTGGAACTTCTGCAGTAAATGATTCTGAATACCCACGACGAAAAAACTTCACATGAGAAGCGGAGTTTTGACTTTTGAGTAGAGACAAGAAACAATCATTATGATATTGATACCGCTACAAAAGCCAATAATTCAAAGCTTACGTCAATAACATCGGAGAAGCGCCAACGACAGCACGAAGGAATACGGCCTATAATACTGTAAAAACAATGCTTGAAATAAGCTCGCGAATTAGCGCAAACCCGGATTATTCTGGGACAAAGAATTTCTTGAGAATTAAAAAATAAAATAGATTGGGTACGGCTTATGATTTGCTCCATGAGTAGAGCCACAATTCTAGAGATAGCTTTCATATTTTCGGGTCATCTAGTCCTGTGGAAAATATCAACATGATCCAGCACTCTCTCATGAGGTGGAAAAAATTCAGGAAAATTGAAGCAAAGATTATGTAGAACCCATATAAACAGAAGTGAATCATACAGGTTTCCGCTGCTGTTGGCTGTGGAGGAAATCTAATCTCAAGGGACAGCAAAGGGAAACCGTTCATTAAAAACCTCAATGCGAGCGAGAATAATATCTTACAATGCCTTCCACGGAAATGGTTGACCATCTAGGAAAGTTTGAACTTCCTTCTAAACCCTTGGTTATTAACATTTGTCGTTCACTTCAGCTCTCTCGTCACATTGAAAAAACAACAAAATTTTAACAAATAACAATCGTTTCATAATTTTCACCAACTTCTGGGCATACCTTATGCTTGCATCACGTATACGATCTGGAGATTATTAAATTGATAGTACAGTACTTCAATGCAAGCGGATCGCAAACCAGCTGTTCACTATATGTAAAATGGGCCAGGACAAAGATCAGGATTTCGACCAACCTGACGGGACAAGTCTTCCCGGTTTTCGAAGCATTTAGTCTTGTCTTTAAGTCGATGTACAATATTATTCCTCAAATCCTCCGCGTCTTTCACAGCTCTCCCGCAGTTCGTGGAGGTGATCTCGAAGTGATAGCGGATACACTCGTTTGCCTCTTCATCAGTTGTCACCGCAGCTGGACAATCATCATCATAAATGGATTCAATATGCCGACGTTGCGCCTCAATCGCAGTCTCGTCTTCAATGTCCATGTCCACGGCGTCCATCACACCGTTCCCGACATGATCAATAATATTTTCATCGCTTTCGTTCGGGAATTTCGAAGTCTTATGTTCAGCAAGAAGAAGTTTCTTCTCCTCCTCGAGAATTTGCTTTAGGAATTTTCCAGAAGAATTCATGGAATGACGAGTGAAACCCAGCCAGTCGGCCAGGCTGAAATGCAGAGGGAAACATTCGGGTATCGCAATACCGAAGCTGTGCAACGATCCCATCGATAGGATTCCTGCTCCGGAAGTTATACCTGCAATACAATAAACCACAAACATAATGAAACGTATACACATAAGATGGTATTAGTGCTCTTTAAGCGAGATCATATTGCGATTAAAATAATCTTTTATCAGCTGTATCATGTCACGCCTAGCTTTTGTTCGTCCCGCTTGAACTTCATCCTCACAGCACAACCAATCAACTATATACAGTACGATAATTCATTTAAACAATATACTCTTTCACTGAATTCACAGATACAAACGATGTGCTTTCAGAATAACCCACAAAAATGTCCACGCAAAATTCTCGAATAAAAACATCTTCTGCAATGTTTTCATTCATCTATCATCTTAATTATCGAGTGGTAATCTAATGCAATGCGCTTTTTCCTGATGGCATCGCGAAAAGCGTCATTCAAACGCTTCTATATCGGTTTCAAGTAAAATATGTTTGAGACTTTGACATTGGCCACACAAGTTTCACTTTTTTCCGTTATTAAGACACGACGTTAAATTTGGCTGAATAATTGGATGATAGACGTTAAACTACGACAGTTTCCACGCCGTTGACTCGATGCGATAGGCGAAAAAATGCAGTCCTATATGATGGCCAATTTTCCGTTAGGTTCAAATAAACACATACGCCGCAAAAACTTTATCTCGATGTCCATCATTGTATTTTTCAAATTCCGAACGTCAAGTTTAATTTACAAAATGCATTGAAGGTTCATAAGCTGCTAAGTTTCATTATGACGATAAGGACTGATCACTACTGCATACAGCAGTGTTCCCCAACCCCTGGTCCGCGGACTGGCGCCGGTCCGCAGAAGTTTTTTACAGTTCCGCGGAAAATTTTCTTCAGCTTGATAAATCAATCAAAATTACCAATGAAGGTTGCTACAGTATTTTTCTCATAAATTTTGCATAGACAAGGGCTGTTGAAGTTAAAGCATGAAAAATACATGCTGGCTTTTCTCTTCTTAGTACTTCAGACAAATTTTCACCTGATGAAATAAATCATTTTAATTTTTAATTCTGAGAATTCTTTCTTCAAGCCCACCATCATAATTTTCAGACACTCAATCATATCAGTTGAAACCTCTCTACGTCGAATTTTTTTCTGGTCCCTTGAAATTTGACTCAGGGAGGTTTTAAATTATGAAGGTTTGAGTAACATTAAGAAGCCCTTTTTCTGGGAAACTTAGGAAAACTGCCCAAACTTGTAAATGGTGATATTCTGGTGCTTAAATGGCTTTTTAAATGAGTTCAAAGTATGCTGTACTTGGAGGCGGAGGTTCATTTGCCCAATTCACTTCTTTTAAAACGCATAAATTTACGTTTTTATTGCTTTTTTTCTTTCTTGGGTCAAGAAAATAATGGCCAACAGGCCACAGAAAATTCGAATTATGGAGGCTTGGGGGGGGAAAGCCTTTGACTTGAGAAGGTATTTTAGGTATTGCTTCTAAGGGGATTCAGATGGGGACCTGAAAAAAATTCGAGTTACCGGGGTATTCGACTTAGAGAAGTTCGAGGTTCACCTGTACCTGCTTCATGGGTTGTTGACGTAATTTTTGCAAAAGAGCAACCACAGTACTTTTCAATAACTGCCATGAAGTCGTCTTGAACGTCTTTTTTTTAATCTGCAAAACTTTTATGAAAATTTGCTGGTCCACAGAATTTTTTTTGGAAATTTGCCGGTCCGCGAAAAAATTCATGTTAATTCGCAAGTCCGTGGGCCCAAAAAGGTTTGGGAACACTGGTATACAGCACAAAGGCACAATTCTTGGATCAAGAGAGTGGGGGAAAATCGTAAAATTGGAACGGAAGTGTTCTGAAACTATGTTAAGCAGTATTTCAGGCAATTCTTTTTTTTTACATATTGTCTTGACTTTTCCATCGATGTGTCACTTCATCATTAATATATTCGCTGCTGAGAGTGCTGACCAAAAGTAATTTATACTTACCTTTCCTCAAAATCTCAAGTTTACTCAAGGAGTGCCCCAGAGACAGCATCTCGGACCGAACACTACGACTGACTTTCGAAGCACATCCACTACAGTTCAACTGCGCTTTTCGAACCGAAAATGGTTCTAGCAACGTGCTCTTGGAACGTCCACCAATTCGGAGGATTTTTCCCGTAAAACGAGTGATCCCTTCCAAAAATTGATCCAAGGCGTGATTCGTGTAGCACACAACCAAGATTGGACCATCATTGCGAATCATGAGCTTCATTCGACGGGCAAGGATTGTCTCAACCAGCTTCAAACCAATGAATGTTTTACCAGTTCCTGGAGGGCCTGTGGATGTTTCAGGAAAAGTGTTGAAACAACAACTGTGATACGCGCAATAAATGTTACCCATACAATGCATGTTTTACGATGGATCTGGGGTACGGGTACCATCATCACTATCCATTTGTTGTATAGTCACTGCACCAGGGATATTCGTCCTAGCTTTTAAATTACAGTATTTTCATATGCAACAAGAATTATTGCTGACATTTTCAAGCTACGCATGCGCGCATCCGAAGACCTAAAAAAATGCAGGAATTACATTCCGAATGAACAAATAACTCCACAAAAATTGTAGCTTCGAAGTGAACTTGGTACAGTACGTCCATCGTGAAACAGGGCTATTTTCGAAGATTTTAGGTATGAAAGAACAATTCATACTTACTTTACTGCACATTACAAACTTGAACTATGGTACATTATATGAACTTGAGCAAGATTGCGATAAACTGGACGACATAATTTTCCTTATTGGTTATAGCTAATTTTAAAATCGCGGAGCCAGGTTAAAATAATTTTTCGATCAGCTAAAATAAAAATAAGGTCTGCTGCAATCCTGCAAAACGCAATCGCAATGTTACCTTTTATAGCCGAAGCAATCAAACTTCAATGAGTACAAGACTGAAAACTAACCTTGGATGAGGGCAAATTCGTGACAAAGACCTGCTTTCAATGCACGGAACTGAGCCTCATCAAGTCCAAGTTCTTCCGGTTCCGGCCATTGATTAGAGAATGGATTCCCAACAAACCGCTTGTTCTTGTGCGTCAAAGGGAAAACGCACTGACGAACGACTTGCGGGGGATTATCCTCATCGCTGCTGTTTTCTGGCGAAGACGCGGTCGCATTAACGTCCTCAATGCATTTCGCAGGCTTATGATCCAGAATGTATTTCGGCAAGGACACAGTATTCTCAACATCCACAATGTACTTCTTCAGTGGGTACTTCTCCAAGGGAATATTTTGCAGAGACGTCAGAATGTGCCGATATGCTTCGAAAAAGGCAGCACTTTCAACCACCAGAAATTCGGGACCTCCAGTCCAAGCATTCATATCAAATTGGCTGCTTTCAGGTCGAATTCGTACAATCCCACGCTTCAAATCTTCAACTTTTCGTTCAGCAACCGACGCAAACACAACGCTTTTGAAGTTATCGTTGGTCAAGCAGACCAAAGACCCAAATAACAATCGCTTGCTTATTTCCCACCGAACTCTACCCAGATTTCGCAAAGAAAATTTGAGTTTAAATGTCACTCCAATTGGCTCGTAAACTTTGCCAATAACAACTGCCTTTTCGTAGATCCTGACTTCTTGAATCCTCCGCCACGCACCATGATTATTACGATTGTCTTCCGCTCCTTTCATGATCTCTGCTACGCCTGAACGCAAGGGTCTCACGAAGTCTTCCTTCATCAAGCGAAATTGAACGTCAAGGTAATGGTTAGCATCCAAATATCGCCCCCTCGTGATATTAGCACGCAGAAACGGCTTCTCCAGACCTAACAAATCTTTCAACGTGGGGAGAATGGGTAGCGTGCGGAAATCTTCAGGAGCCTCGCTCAAGTGACTTTGGCTGTGGAAAATTGCTTTTCGGATGGAATGGTCCTGTTCTTCAACCGTTTTCCGCAGGTTTTCCAGGTTTTCGCAAACTTGATTGTACATACTAATGAGATCGATATGTGGCTCCAAAATGTTCTCCAAACCTTGAACGACGGTTCTGATAGAGTTGACACAGGCTTCAATGCTCATGGCTTCGTCTGCAGGACAGAGCCTCACAATGACATCAAACAAAACAATTTCATTGAGAAGAAATTCTTGCGCTTCCGCCGGGTTCGAATGGTGCATCTGTTGCAATGTTGTCAAATTGAAGTGCATCAAAGAGTCGAGCAAATTGGAGTGCAATGCCAGAGAAATAGCTTTTGCAACAGTAACTCCGAATCCATGCAAATCCATAGCCTTGCGAAGCACCTTCAAGATGTACTTGATTCTTTCAGGATGGTCTTTTAGGCGTTTGTCTCGCAGGGCAAGCGGAAATCCTGACATCTCGTTGATCACCGCAAAAATGGGGGCCGGATCATCGCCTTCCGCAAGTCGCTGCAAATCTCTGAGGCCTATAGGATGTTCCCGATCACGGTACTGTCTGAAATCTCTCCTATTATCAGCCCCCTGCTTTCGATCGAATTCTTCTCGTAAATCCGGTTGACGGGTTCGGTAAGTATACCGATTATTGTAACCTCCCGAACTGCCATAAGAACGAAAATTTTTACTACACTCTCCACTGCCATGAGAAGAACCAAGACGATTCCTTGCATAAGGGGTTGCCCTTTGCCCTGCGGAACGAAAAAATGGCATTCATGTAGATAAAAGAAAATCACTTCGCGGGAAAGCTGACACGAATTTACAAGAGTCTACCGTGTTTCCTACGTAAGGCTCGCTAGGCATAGGTAAAAGTATACGCTCTCCTGCATCATCAACTGAGTTTGTATGACACGGTTTCGTCACTCAACTTGAGTCATCATTCCCCCTACCATAATGCGTGCAGTCAATCGAACTACCGTAGCGTTATCTACTGCTGGAAAACTGGGTAAACCCAAGACAACTATAGTGACATCTATCACATTGACTTGGTACTGAAGTGTTGTTTTTACAGTTGTACAGGTATCTTCGATCAGTTCCCCGATCCGTCTCCGGAGTCCGGGACTCTTCGCTGCAAGGAACATGTGAACATTTTCATTTCCAAACCTTTTTTCATAATTCAAAAATCACTCCATGGGACATACAAAGAAACCGTTTCTTCTTTCAATATACCCTTTTTCCGGTTAATGGTTTTGTGAGGATTAGTACCGTAATACGAATTAACGATTCACAGTACAGTATTATTTTATAACTCGGATAAAATGTGAAGAAGCGAGTCGAACAGTACAGTAACAGATTCCAATCACGGTCTAACGAAAAACCGCTTGGCTGATGTTTCTACTTTTCGGCAGCCATTTTTCGAAGAAAATTGACGAAACTTTTTTTCCTCCTGAAAACTAGGAGCCATCCTTCCCAACACTCATTTCTACACTGATTCTTAAAAGATGATAAACGGCAGAATGACTTCATCGGAGGCAGATGCAATTTTTTCTTTTGCTCCTCAATCCTTCATTGATGTCAAATAAATGTTTCATCCACTACTTGGCTACAGATGGAAACAAGAAAAAGACCTCACAGTCAATGCTCTCCACTGAAGTGAAGTTTAGTGGATCAAGAGGAGCTGCGCACTGGCATGCTCCACAATCAATATTGATCCATTAAATTGAACTTCACTTCAGTGGAGAACATTGAATGTGAGGTCTTCTTCTTGTTTCCATCTGTATCTGAGCAGTGGATGAAACACTTGGACACCAATGAAAGAGTGAGAAGTAGAAGAAAAAACTGCATCCGCCTCCGCGATGACGGGATTTGGCTGTTCAACATCTCTTACAAACCAACCCTCGTACTGTACCATTAATATGCTCATCACAATCGATACTTTTTCAACCGATGTACATCACACGAAATATCCCAAACAAAACCTCAAAATTGCTGTGCTCATAGGAAAAGTACCGTACAGCACCATCTTCATAGCAGTTATTCGTACACCATACATGACAGGAATTCTGCGACACTTCGGCCTTACCTCGGCTACTCAATCCTTGAGCTGGAGCTGGGTGTCGACTTCCTGAGCTGACATTCGGGGGAAAATCTCTCCCATCAGATGAAACACTCAGATTGGATTTTCGCCCGGACATTCTCGGACGAAACATAACCTTTAGATTAAGCAGACAATCATAAAACCAGGCTTAAAGACGAAATATTCCCAGAGCCACTTTCCACGCTTTCTGTCAAAGAGAAAACCGAAAATAATAGGGACAATCAAATTGCGTTCAAAATTAAAAAGAAAAACAGCTACGATGACGTCACGCAACAAAGAACGATTTCTGATGAAAAAAGACCTGTCTAATACAGGTCAGGATTGTAATATCTGAGCACAAGCACACACAATAATATGACAAGTTATGAGATAAATCACAACATTCGATAGGTACACAGTTGAGATACAGCACTCTCATGCACGCAGATGGGAAGAAATGTTCACAAGCTAAGTTAGGCTTCAGTTTTCTTCATTAAACTCCAGATGAGATGACATTTTTATTTTGATCAGATCGCTTGGGCACAAGGGAATTATTGCGGGCAAGAAAATTCATTCAAATTTTGCTTCGGTAGAACAGACCCAGTAAAAATTTCATTTGTATAGCGAAGGAATGGTATTGTAACAGTTTTAGGCAGTTATCAGTCTTTGGTTCTAAGAAATTCCGTCCCAAGCATTTCAAAACCGGTTCAACCAGTCCTTCGTGATCTCGTTTGCATTCCATTTGACATGCCCCCTCCAAAATGACACACTACCCAGCTTACAACTGTCCTTTATTGAAAGAGGCTGCAGCTTTCTGGCAGCAATTTAATTTTTCAATCTCTCTAACATTCTCAAATCTTCCGTTTCAAAAAATAAGAAAATGATACCACAGAACAAAAATAAATAAAAAGAATCAGATTAAAAAGCAAGCATGCATATCTGCTGCATTCGGGTATAGCAAGTGCTGTGACTTCGCTGACACCGAGCAAAAAATAAGCACAGCTCTCGCTAGCGGAGTTGAATTCGAAAAACCCGATCAGGTGACTCCACAAAATAAAATAATAAAAGAACTGTAGTATGCACTGCACTGTAGAGCTAGAAAAGGAAAAAATCCAGTAGGTTTACCGGCCTCTGATTTAAAACGATGCAATCTGAGCGATTTACGCAAAAAGTATCCTCAAAAGGTCGGTAGTCCGAACCAGACCTTCTCTATCAGCTGGGACCATTCAGCGAGTTCGCCAGCTCACGTGGCTTTTGTCCGTTCTGGAATAAATTGGCGCAGTCGTTATGACATTACAGTGATTACACCAAGCCACTCCACGACAGTTCGATGGAGGCTGAAACCTTTTCACCACCAGGATTCGAACCAGGTTCGTCAGCGTACAATGCAACCGACGTGACCCCAACGCCGCGCTCTCGGCGGCGAAAGAAACTGTTGACCTTCGGGTATAACTCACCCCCGCGGCCCGCCAGAGGTTACTGGAACGTACGGCGAACTCCGAGTTCAGTCCATTACTACTGAATAACACTATACAGTACTGTAGAAATTCCCGGAAACTGACATCCACCATCAACTGCGCAAGACGAGTTGCACGCCAAGATTCGAAACGCGGACCTCCCCAAACAGGATCGACTGACGCCAGGGTAATTCAATTTGCACCTAAAATAAAAAGGGGATCAGATTATGTCACGATCAAAGCCATGAAGACTTGTCTGGTATTTTTTGACGTTGGGAGATAATTTTGAACGTTTGCCTCCAGGATGAAAACAGATTCCGAAACTGGATTTCGAAGTCTTCATCACCAATTCCACCTTTCGGGAATCCTATTCAGTACCAGAGATTTCTGACGGACAGAGCGGGCGAACTGTGCCATTCATTGATGGTCTTTAATTCAGAACCTATGGCACCGAGAGACTTTTTTATAATAAAAATAAAAAACCTATTTTACTTGAACAGTATATATCTCAGAAATTCTAACGGCTGCATCAATCTGAGGTATTCACGGTAATTATTTTCAATCAGATTTTTTGGGAGGGATAGAGCTGGAAAGCGCTGTGCCATTCACTGGTGGATTTTAATTCAGGCACTACGTGACACCACGGGAGACTCCAAATAAATAAGAAAAAACCATTACCGCATTGTACTTGAAAATTATAAATCTCAGTAATTCTAAAGAGTGTACAAATCTGACGCTTTCACGTAAAATAGTTCAATGTATTCAAAAAGGTCGGTTTTCCGAACCAGAACATTTTCAGCTTGTCCGACTGGACATCATCGGCGCAATCGCCCCATCAGCATACGGCTTTCGTCCGGGTGCAGGAGAAAATCCCGTGGGAGAAAAATCCCGCGTCCCGAAAATCCCATGAGGCCGATAATCCCGTAGGCCGAAAAATCTCGGGGGGTCCGAAAATCCCGTAAGTACGAAAATCCCGTATACTACAAAATTGTGATATTATCTCTGAGTTTTCCTTCCAACTGCGTTTACTCTTCTGTGGCCTTTGGGTGGAATCTTGTTAAGTTTAATGGCTTGTTGAATTT